AGCGCAGTCTCCTTTCCCCAGCGGCAGAGTGTTCTATCGGGAGAGGAGCCTGTTACCCCCTCTCCCCAGCAACAGCTTAGAGTATCCAAAGGGGAGACAGTCGGTCTCCCCCTCCAGCAGCAGAGCTGTGTAACCAAAGGGGAGACAGTCGGTCTCCAGCAGCAGGACTGTGTATCTAAAGGGGAGACAGTCGGTCTCCAGCAGCAGGACAGTGTATCTAAAGGGGAGACAGTCGGTCTCCCCCTCCAACAACCAGGCTTCAACCAGGCTACCCTCCCAGTAGTGCTGGCTAGTGATGTCGCGAACCCGAAATTTTCGGTTCGCGAACGGCGAACGCGAACTTCCGCAAATGTTCGCGAACCGGCGAACCGCCCGAAACGCCATTGACTTCAATGGGGAGGCGAATTTTAAAACACACAGGGACTCTTTCTGGCCACAATAGGGATGGAAAAGTTGTTTCAAGGGGACTAACACCTGGACTGTGGCATGCGGGAGGGGGATCCATGGCAAAACTCCCATGGAAAATTACACAGTTGATACAGAGTCTGGTTTTAATCCATAAAGGGCAGAAATCACCTAACATTCCTAAATCACAATCAATATGGATTGACACCTGACATATGACATATTGACACCTTGACATATGGATTGACACCTGTCCTCAGAGCCCCTGATGCACCCGGACACAGAGCAGAATAGAGACTGGTCCCCCTACATAGGGTCACTTGGCAGATATGGATTGACACCTGTCCTAAGGATCCCTGATACACACTGACCGCGGCCCCTTTAAGGCGGTGTCCCCTGTGTCCCCAGACCTGGTGCAAACCCTTTGTGCCTGCACTTGCTATTTCCCACTTGCTTGGTTCAGTAAATGGGAAATTATTTCAGCTAGAGACTAAGTCCCATTCGTGATGGGACTTAGTCGTTTCAGCCGAAATAGACCGACCTCACAGCCCAAATCTATGGAACTGTTTTGGGCAGGAAAATGTACTTGCGGTCGGTCATAAAGGGACCTCCAGCTAACTTTTTAACCCCTGGATGTATTTGGCTGATTTTTGGTTATGTTTATGTTTTAAGTGTGCTGATTCAAAATATGTAATTATGAAGATGGGATGTGTAGTTTTAAAGTTACAGGGTATGGCTAAAAACTGTATTTTTACTGCCTGTGTTTAATTATGTTAATCTCTTCCCAAACGTCATTTCGCTCAAAGTGGAGAGAATGTTAAAAAAAAATATTTTTGTTCTGAGTGTGAGAAATGCTTTTCAGCCGCTTCTAATCTTAAGCATCATTTGAGGAGCCATACAGGAGAGAAAACTTATTTGTGGTGTGTTTAGTATTGTTCTGATCAGTTTAATACCTTCCGCGTCTCCTATCAGTGGACGTGTATATGGCAGCCATTTTAGAGACATTACACCTGGGACGAGCAAAGGTCACCTCTCGTTCAACAGAAGGCAACATTTGTCCCTGGAAAACTATCCTGGACATTCTGTGAATTTGTATGGAATATGGCAGTGATTTCTGTAACAGGGAGATGGAAGAAGATGCTTGGTCGGTCCTCTTAATTCAAATTTGGGGGCACTGCGCAGTCAAGCTAATGTGCCACCAGATAGGAGTGGTGTGTTTAGTATTGTTCTGATCAGTTTAATACCTTCCGCGTCTCCTATCAGTGGTCGTGTACACGGCATTGATTTTTGTAACAGGGAGATGGAAGAAGAGGCTTGGTCGGTCCTCTTACTGCAAATTTGAGGCACTGCGCGGTCAAGCTAATGTGAC